GTAGATATCAACTCCCTGATGACTTGCTGCTGGGCCAAGATGTCATCCCATCAAGTTTGATTGAGAGAATTGAATTGACTAATGTCATTTTACTATTCTTTATCTTCTACGGCAAAGTATTTCCAAGTACACAGAAATACAGCAGTGCAGCTTGTAATTTAACTACTCTTCCAATGACCACTGTAGAATATTGGATAAAAATCTTACTAACAAAATTATTCTTTAAAAAGATGATTTTTCAAAAGCTATATTGAATTAAACAAATGGACAAATTATGATGTACCACTGTTTAATTCCATTTTATTATATTGAGGAATAAAAATGGACAAAATATCTTTCTTGCAGACATTATGTGAAGTTATTTTGAAAGTGGGAGGGTGTTCCATGCTGGAAGAGTTAAACCCATCAGAAATCGAAATGGCTATATTGGCTTTCTGTGGGTTTGCTTGCTTTTCCTTCCTGAAAATTGATTTAAGAAGGAATCCAACCACATAATTACAACTAGGTTTGTACTAAATGGATTATTACAATATTTTACTAAACACAAAGACATTATTAATCATTTAATTTCCTGTTTAGTGTGGTGTACTGTACTTGTCTTGTTAATTGTTCACTCACATTATTTTGCTGATGATTTAAATGCAACTGTAAACATTATATTGGAATTTTCAGCTTTAAATGCTAAAAGACTCCAGAACTGACAGCTACCCTGCAATTAAAGCATTTGAACTGAACTCTCACCTTCACTTGTCACTATTTAACCTTTAGAATGAGGATAATTAACCTGTTCATTAAAGATCAGCCTTTTGTATTTTTTGTGTATGTGTGTGTATTTTGGCATTTTCTCCACAAACTTTAGTATTCTTCTAATAAGTTGAAGTTTGAACAGTTACAGGGTTTTCAGCAGGTAGATCAGTGCAGCTTTGAAATAATTAAACTGTAGCTCCAAGATCAGTAAATTGCAATCATTGGGTCAAACTCCACTCACATGAGCCTCCTGTTATTGTCAATACACTTGATATGCTTTGAATCTGTTGTTCTCAGCTGTAACCTCAGAGTCACCTCTGGGATTCTCTCTCCTTTAACACATGCCTCGATTCGATTTCGTCAATTCTGACTAATTTGTCATGGAGGCATGCACAGATACTCAGTCTCATTTGGGAATGACAGACAAAACATCAATATCCAGAAGAAACTGGGTTTCTAAAAATATTATTTTTACTGAAATCTAGACATTTTTCGTGCCTAAAATCTCTCTGGTTTGACACTTTTCCCAATGTGACTGCAATTTAATAGAGAAAAGGTACTCTGTCAGAGAAACAAGCCAGTTATGGAAAATAGCACTCCTGTTTCTGGTTAAGTTTGCTATTATCTTTCTGTCAGCTGCTGAGATGAAGTCAGGGAGGGAGGGCGAGAGAGAGAAAATAGAGGTACCAGTCAGTATAAGTCATTCTACTTTCTGTAATTTGTGACAGCCGCAAAAGCAATTCTGTCAGCTGTGATCTATCGGTTAGTTAACTATTTGGGATCTTCCACATATTTCATCAGCAATTTGGGTAGGATAGTCCCAAACTTAAATTTCAATAACATGTCTACCTACAAAATTATTGTGTAGGAAAATTGATGATGGCCTGATGTCCTGATGTAAAAATTGCCTTAAATGTACAGTAAAGGTGATGTTAGCTGCTTAACCTTTCCAAATATCCCAAACGAAATATCTGCTGTGTTGTTGAATTATCCTTCATCCCATTTAAACATACAGAGCCAAGTGGAAATTTCCCGATATATGTTTTAAAATCTAAGGATATTAGTACCTCTGCTATCTCATCCTGAGCTTCATTGAACAATAGATGATTCTGAAAGTATGATCCTGTGACAAAAGCACCCATGAAATTGTCTTTTAACAGCACCGTAAATGCTTCCTTCTGCATTTCTTTTTCTTTAAATAACTATAGAATTGTGGGAGCTTTGTTTGGCAATAAAAATAATAACTTGTGCTGCAATTCACAAGTGATGACAGTCCACATTTAATTGAAACTTTCCTTTATTGTGGTAGGGGGTCCCCTACTCTCGTTACCGATAAGGTGCAGGAATACTGCTAGTGTAAGCCAGTGCTTCTTGATTTTCTTCTCCCCCCCACTATGACCTGATTTCAAGGCTTGGAAATTGATGTGACTTCTCGGTGAGTTGTGGAAGGAGGAGGAGAAGATCTATGAGAGTAGGGGACAGGAAGGTCAGCCATTGTTCCTTCAAGGCCCCAAGATTTAAGCTCACGGCTGTATTTGGGGCCTTGATCCCCATTTTGGGACCTCCTACACTATCAGGTTCTCAAATGTCTCCCCATTTCAAGCCTGAGTGATTATTGTGTCACAAAGTGAGAACAATGTGAGTTCTTGAGGTAACGGGGAGTTTGGGATGTTAGTAAAGAGGGTTATAGGGAGCCATGGCAGCCATTGTAACCCCAAAATTCCAGCTCGTGATCCCATTTGGGGCTGTGCTCCAACACCCCCCACTTTGGGAAGCCCTGAAATAGGCCTGGAAATTGGTGTGTCTTGCTTTTTAGGCCCAATCAGATCAAAGGAAACCTGAACTGAATGATTGTGACCTTGGCCTGTGTGGTTTTAGCAATATTTCCCCTTTCCTCCTATCTGCATTGGATAACAAAATCCCACAGTGCAGAAGGGGGCAAATCAGCCCATTTGTGTCTATATTGACACCTCCAAAGAGCATCCCAACCAACTTCCACCCTGTGCCCATAGCCCCAGATTTACCAGCACATTCCTGAATACTACGGGCCAATTTAGCATGGCCAATCCACCTAACCTGCACAAATCCAGACTGTCGGAGGAAACCAGAGCACCAGGCAGAAATCATGCAAACACCGGGAGAATGTGCAAACATCACACAGACCCAAGGCTGGAATTGAATCCAGGACCCTGGTACTGTGAGGTAACAGTGCTCACCACCGTGCCACTGTGCAGCCCGCTAATGCATGTAGTATATGTGGGGCACGTAGCTGTATCCTCTTGAAAGGTCCACCCTCTATTAAAGGGAGGTAAACACCTGAACTGAAGTCTGCTGGAAAACCATCTCTGTGTCAGACAACTGACAATCACCAACACAAACCTTTCCATTCCACCAAAGGACACCAGTTTCTCCCTGCCTTCCCAGTCCTTCAGTCACTTAGTGCCATGCACATGTAAGCTAACCACTGTACCACATATTCACTGACTGTCTGCTTTTTCCTATGGCAGGAAATCATCATTTAGAACCAGAGTTGGGGGGGTTGGAGGAAGGGGATTAGGTGGAGGGAGTATCCAAAATGGTGGAAAGTGTCTACTACTTCTGAACAACTTCTGTCACTTCAATTGATGTTGTGATCATAAAATTCAGCCCCCCTCCATTCCGCCCCCTCCCCTCCCTGCCCCTCGCCAATCCTTCTACTACCCAACTCTTCCCCTTCTGCTTGTGCCATTCAGATAGCCAGGACCTGGGCCTAGACCAGTTTAGTGGCTGAATCACGGGGCTCCTGTTTCAGGGTTGTCCACAACATAGCTGGAATTGTCACGTGCCTCAGGGCTGTGGTGGAAGGTCAGGCCAAGGCAGGAGATCCAGGGTTGATGCCAATCAGTTGCCCAGGCCCAGGCTGCTGCCTGAGTGCCCATGGATCTCCAGCACAAAGGGGCATGCAGGTTCTCCCAGCAGTTCCGCAGTCCTCAAAGGGACTGCTCGGTGGACAAGGCATAGAGGGTGCACCTCCTCAGGATGACACCATTCACCTTCCCACCACTGCCAGCTTCCCATCGCTGCCACCTTCCCACTACTTCCAGCTTCCCATCGCTGCCACCTTCCCACCAATGCCAGCTTCCCATCGCTGCCACCTTCCCACCACTGCCAGCTTCCCA